TGCAGATTTGCTGAGCATTTCTGTGAGGTCCTGGGGGAGGGGAAATCCCTCAGCAGGAAAACATCATGGCACAAAGTGGGGATGACAGTGCTGAGGCTGCGGTGCCTCAAATATTGGAAGAAGTCACCCCCTGTGAGTGACTGGCTGAGGTGCCATCTGTTGAGGAAGTCCTGAAGGAGATCCAGAGTCGAGACCAGGAAAGGCACCAGGCAGAGATGATCACCCAAGGGAAATTCTAGACAGACCAGCCTAAACATTTAGGCTGGCCTGTCTATGATCCATCTTAACCGGTTAGAAACATTTAGGCTGGCCTGTCTACGATCCATCCTGGGATAACCAGGCTGGATTGTGTGGAGCTCACAAATCCTTGAAAGATCTGGACAAAGTCCTATTGGTGAGCTCCTCCGGCAGGCAAGGCTGCGTTGGCTGGGTCATGTAACCCGCATGCCCAGCCACCGCATGCCTAAACAGATTTCGTTCGGCCCGTTTTTTTTGGTTTGCCATGTTTGTTGATGTACAGAGTTAGACTGATGGCCTTAATCTAAGTTGTCTTGTGGTTGTTGTTGTTTGACTTGCATCCTACTGGGATTTTTGCACATGGCGTTGGTGTAACGGTACTTTTTCTGCAATATTTTGGTCTTTTCTTAGATTTTCTGTTTGCACTTAGTCACATATTCACTTTAAGATGTTTTCTTGTTCATGTTTTTGTTTTTTGTTTGTTGCGGTTGCACCAGATTCAAGAGCCGAATGGCTCACAGGGCTACACGTAATACATGAACTTGAACTAGAGGGGCGTCATGGTTGGGATCGAACCCACGACCTTCTGTAGACCAGGCGAGGTAGTTAACATCTCTACAGGGTCGCGATCGAACTCACGACCTCCTGTAGACCAGGCGAGGTAGTCAACATCTCTACAGGGACATGATGGAACCCACGACCTCCTGTAGACCAGGCGAGGTAGTCAATATCTCTACAGGGTCGCGATCGAACTCACGACCTCCTGTGGACCAGGCGAAATAGTTAACATCTCTACAGGGGCATGATCGAACCCACGACCTCCTGTAGACCAGGCGAAGTAGTTAACATCTCTACAGGGGCATGATCGAACCCACGACCTCCTGTAGACCAGGCGAGGTAGTCAACATCTCTACAGGGTCGCGATCGAACCCACGATCTCCTGTAGACCAGGCGAGGTAGTTAACATCTCTACAGGGGCATTATCGAACCCACGACCTCCTGTAGACCAGGCGAGGTAGTCAACATCTCTACAGGGTCGCGATCGAACCCACGACCTCCTGTAGACCAGGCGAAGTAGTCAATATCTCTACAGGGGTCGCGATCGAACCCACGACCTCCTGTAGACCAGGCGAGGTAGTCAACATCTCTACAGGGTCGCGATCGAACCCACGACCTCCTGTAGACCAGGCGAGGTAGTCAACATCTCTACAGGGTCGCGATCGAATCCACGACCTCCTGTAGACCAGGCGAAGGAGTTAACATCTCTACAGGGTCATGATCGAACCCACGACCTCCTGTAGACCAGGCGAGGTAGTTAACATCTCTACAGGGGCCAAGATCGAACCCACGACCTCCTGTAGACCAGGCGAGGTAGTCAACATCTCTACAGGGTCGCGATCGAACCCACGACCTCCTGTAGACCAGGCGAAGGAGGTTAACATCGACCTAGTCACAGTGACGCCCACGGATTCTGATTAAATGATCTCGACTTAGACATTTACATGAATGTTACATTCCACGGGCGGATTGACCAACACAGTTTAGACCCCTCAACTGTTCCACAAAGACCACAGGGGATGGTGGTGGGGGGGTATCAGCCCAGCCCAATCCCAGGCCAACCAGGCCGGGCAATGTGGCCTAGGGCTGCACTCACTCACTCACCTCGTGGTTCGCTCCGTAGACGTCTGTCTGGGTGGTGGGGGGTCTTGAGCTCTCTACTCCGTCGTGGCGAGGAGGTGACACACAAAGCTATTGACTCGTGTGGTGGTGGTGGTGGTCCGACGTTTCGCGCCGCTACCACAACCAGGGCGGGAGACGGTCCGCTGGTGGGAACGCGTGGCTTTAGCAGGGCGCGTTTAGAAAACGTAGCGCGGATAGGCGACCACGTGGCAGCGGGGCTAAATTCCGTAGAGCTGATAGGCGCTGCCCATAGACTCAACACTGGCCACAGTTCTGTATGTGCAGCAGTCGATTTGAAGTTTTCGTGACTGATATGGGTCATATCCTTTGCTTCTTTCGGTAAAGTCACGTGGGTGAAGATTTTAAATAGAAAATAGAAATAAGCAAAGAGTCTATGCGCATACTCTGTGTTTTTTTCGGTAAAGTCACGGAGGTGAAAAAATTTGAAATTTAAATTAAATCTCGACGTTTCGGAGGCAACGCAAGCTTCCGTCCGTGTGTGTTGCCCGCGAAAAAGTCGCGATTTAATTAATTAATTTTTATTGTTTTATATTGTATTGTGTATCTCCCTTCTACGTGAGTTTACCGAAAGAAGCAAGAACATGAATCCCTGCAGTCACGAAATCTTTAAATCAAAAATGTCTATATATGCACAGTACTTTATACGTGCAGAGTTCAGTGTGTGTGTAAGTGATGTTACCCCCCCCCGTACACCCCCCGTACCCCCCTGTACCCACCCCCCCAGCAGACAAGAGCTGCTCGCGAGTGGGGGACACGAGAGGGGGGGGTGGCCAAGCACCACGCCCAGCCGCCTGTGTCTCTCCCGTGGCGATGTTCACTGCTACCACCGCACCAGGCTCTCGATTGATGCTGAGTCGACCTTAGGGGAGGCCCAGGAGCGAGCAGTGATTGAGCTCTGACATTTAGAGTGTGTTGGTTCTATGCGATGGAGCGTGGATCAAGCAGTGATATTTGAAATACAAATGTTTATCGTTAAAAGTGACTCCCGCCACGTGATTTCTGAACGAGAAACTGACGATTTGTGGATGGCACCGAGATTTCTCGATCTAAAGAGATTGTGGATCGACAAAGACCCCATATTAGGCCGTCCATTGACTCCGGTTGGCTTCCTCCCCGGCATTAACCGAGTTAGACTGATGGCCTTGATCTAAGTTGTCTTGTGGTTGTTGTTGTTTGTTTGTTGTAGTACAGAGTTAGACTGATGGCCTTGATCTAAGTGTCTTGTGGTTGTTGTTGTTGTTGTTGTGTTGTAGTACAGAGTTGGACTGATGGCCTTAATCTAAGTTGTCTTGTGGTTGTTGTTGTTGGTTGTTGTTGTAGTACAGAGTTTGGACTGATGGCCTTGATCTAAGTGTCTTGTGGTTGTTGTTGTTGTTTGTTGTAGTAGAGTTAGACTGATGGCCTTAATCTAAGTTGTCTTGTGGTTGTTGTTGTTGGTTTGTTTGTTTGTTGTAGTACAGAGTTAGACTGATGGGCTTGATCTAAGTTGTTCTTGTGGTTGTTGTTGTTTGTTGTAGTACAGAGTTAGACTGATGGCCTTGATCTAAAGTTGTCTTGGTGTTGTTGTTGTTGGTTGTTTGACTTGCCATCCCACTGGGATTTTTGCAGACAGCGTTGGTGTACGGTGCTTTTTTCTGCCATATGTTGCTGTCTTTTTCTTGGATTTTCTGTTGCACTTAGTCACATATTCACTTGAAGATGTTTTTTGTTCATTTTTATTTTTTTGTTTGTTGCGGGTTTGCACCCGATTCAAGAGCCGAATGGCTCACAGGGCTACACCTAGTACTTGAACTTGAATGCGTCATTCATTCTGTCACGGATTAATTCCATCCTGCTACAGCCCAACCCAAACCGCGGCACCGGTGCAGTTGACCGCCGTCGTTACCCGAGTGACGTCAACTTTGAATCCATCGCGATATCAAAACGATGAGATAGAAACCTGAGGATTTTGTTTGACGGAACATGCAAAACACTTTTAATTCACAGCTACGAAAACTCTTGGCCGATACAGAACGGGAATGGAGGCAGGGTAACTAGCATCGTTGTCTGCCTCACGTCACATCAAGATGTCATGTATATCAACATGTAACATATAGAGAGCAGTGTAGTGTATATAGTGTATAGTAGTGTAGTGTATAGTAGTGTAGTGTAGAGTAGTGTAGAGTAGTGTATAGTGGTAGTGCTATAGTAGTGTAGTGTAGAGTAGTGTAGTGTATAATGTAGTGTAGTGTATAGTAGTGAGTGTATACGTGTAGTGTATAGTGTAGTGGTATAGGTAGTGGTATAGTAGTGTATAGTGTAGTGTATAGTAGTGTAGGGTATAGTCGTGTAGTGGTAAGTAGTGTAGTGTATAGTAGTGGTGTGTATAGTGTAGTGTCTAGTAGGGTAGTGGTATAGTAGTGTATAGTGTAGTGTATAGTGTAGTGGTATAGTAGTGTAGTGTATAGTGTAGTGTATAGTGTTAGTGTATAGTGTAGTGCATAGTGTATGTTAGTGTAGTGTGTAGTGTATGTGTAGTGTAGTGATAGTGTAGTGTATAGTATGTGTAGTGTAGTGTATAGTGTAGGTATAGTGTAGTGTATAGTGTAGTGTATAGTGCAGTGTATAGTGTAGTGTATAGTAGATAGTGTAGTGTATAGTGTAGTGTATAGTGCAGTGTATAGTGTAGTGTATAGTAGTGTATAGTGTAGTGTATAGTGCGTGTATAGTGTAGTGTATAGTATGTTAGTGTAGTGTATAGTGTATGGTAGTGTATAGTTAGTGTATAGTGTAGTGTATAGTGCAGTGTATAGTGTAGTGTATAGTAGTGTATAGTGTAGTGTATAGTGTATAGTGTATGTAGTAGTGTATAGTATGTATGTAGTGTATAGTGTAGTGTATAGTGTAGTGTAGTGTAGTGTATAGTGTAGTGCTGGATGCCGTGGTGCTGGCACCCTCAACAACTTTGAATGGATCACCGAACCCGGCAGGACTCGGCTGAACCCGACTGGAGTCGATCTCCAGCCGAGGCCACCCCGGCAGCTTGCGGCTGCAGTCTACTTGTCTACTTGCAAGAGAGTTGGTCAAACGGTCTGCGGGCACCGCTCGCACTTGACGGAGCGCACCACCGGAACTTGCATCTGCACCGCTTCTCCACCGTTCACTGGGAGGGGAACACAGCAGAGGCGAGAGTGCAAAACGTTCGGACATTGTCTTTTTGCCCACGAGGTTTTTATCGCGGATTCTGCAATCGCCGTCGCGATGGTGACAAAAGTCTCCGTGCACTTCTCTCCGTAGACGTTGGCAACTTCGTAGATATCCCTTAGAGCGACTAAGATTCACAGAAAGCAGTTCTAAAGAAATGCATTTTTTATTTTCATTGCGTGGTGTACTGTATAGTGTAGTGTATAGTATAGTGTATAGTGTAGTGTAGTGTATAGTGTAGGTGTGGATAGTGTAGTTATAGTAGGATAGTGCGTGTATAGTGTAGTGTAGTAGTGTATAGTGTAGTGTATAGTATAGTGTATAGTGTGAGTGTAGTATTAGTGTAGTGTAGTGTATAGAGTAGTGTATCGTGTATGTATAGTGTTGTAGTGTATAGTTGTAGGTGGTGTATAGTTGTAGTGTATAGGTAGTGTATAGTGTAGTGTATAGTTAGTGTATAGTAGTGTAGTGTATAGTGTACTGTATAGCATAGTAGTGTAACGGAGCGAAGAATAGTATCCTTGGGGTCTTTCGCTAAAGCCACGTAGATGGCCTAAAAAAAATAATAAAAGTAACAAAAAACTACGACGTTTCGATCGCAAACACAAGCGATCCGTTTGGTTTATTTTAGTGATTTTTTTTTCACCTATCTACGTGACTTTACCGAAAGACCCAAGAATATTAATCCTGCTGTCACGAAAGCTTTAAGTCAAGAGTGATAGTGTATAGTAGTACAGGGACAGTGTGGAAAGAGAGGGGTGTCTGTCGTTATCCGAGCACAAGTAGTGCACGCTTGTCATAGTTAGTAGTGTAGGATATGAGACATTGCACTGACCCTGACGATGCCTGCTGCTGCTGTATATTTGGAGTCTTGCGTCTCTCTCTCTCTCATCATCATCACGGTGGCTAGGAGATGTTAACCCCTCGCTTGTTGTGCAGGAGGTCGTGGGTTCGATCCCAACTCTGACAATGCCCGCTGATGCTGCATTTGCGTGTCTCTCTCTGCCCGTAGGTCACGTGGATTTGTCTCGGGTCCTCCGCTTCTCCCTCCACGTTGAAAATCAGGCGATTAAGAGTATTTGGACGCTGTGCGTTTCTACGCGACGAGCCACTTGGTCGACCTATCGTCTGTGGCTGATCTACGCAGCTCGGCGGAACTTGCCTGGTCAAACATAAAATAGTTTCGTAGCTTCTTAATGAATAAATTTCGATTTAAAGCTTTCGTGACTGCAGGGATTCATCTTCTTGGTTCTTTTGGTAAGTCACGTAGAAGGGAAGTAATAAAATAATAAAAATAAAACATAATAAAATTATTCTCACGACGTTTCGGCCACAACGCAAGCAGCCGTCCTCAGGTGAAAAACACATCTGTCGAGGCGACAGCGTCTGTGTGCTGCTTCATTCAGACGCTGTCGCCTCGACGGACCTGGTCTTCACCTGAGGACGGCTGCTTGCGTTGTGGCCGAAACGTCGTGAGAATAATTTATTATGTTATATTTTTATTATTTTATTACTTCCCTTCTACGTGACTTTACCGAAAGAACCAAGAAGCTTCTTAACGAATAGTTTGAGTTTATTTTCGGGTCGCGGCGACGGTGGGGGGGGGGGAGGTCACACCTCGGACGGTGTTGTACCCTCTGCCGCAACACATGATCGAGCAATCCCCGGTGCCGTTGGAGCGCAAGTCGCACCGCCGCCCCACCGTGCCGGGAACGCCGCGAGCATCGTCGCGCTCGCAGTAGTCGGGGCTGCCGTGCACGTGCACCAGCTCGCTCGCAGTGGGCGCCACGAACCCCTCGTCCACCGGCTCCAGGTGCAGGCGCGGCCAGCGGGCCGCTTTGCCGCTTTCGCGGCCACCGGTAACAGGCACCGCACCGCCGCCGCCAGCCGCCCCCGGAACGAGAATCCAGTTGTGGGTCACCAGCCGCACGGCGGAACTTGCGTCGTACTTTTCCTGCAGCCGCCATCGTCACCAGTCGTCGTCAGGGGGTGAGGAGGAGGCAAGAGGATCCGCCGTGTTTTATTTAGCTGTGGTGGGTGGTGGTGGAGGTTGTGGTGGTGGAGAGTTGGTGGTAGGAGGTGGTGGTGGTGTGGTGCTGGTGGTGGTGGTGGTGATGGGGGGTGGTGGTGGTGGTGATGGTGGTGGTGATGGAGGTGGTGATGGTGGTGGTGGAGGTGGTGGTGATGGTGAATGGTGGTGTTGGTGGAGGTGGTGGTGGTGGTGGAGGTGGAGGTGGTGGTGGTGGAGGTGGTGGTGGTGGTGGAGGTGGTGAAGGTTGAGTGAATGCGGGCAGCACCCTGAGCTGCTAGGGGACCTCCCCCCCCCCCCCCCCCCCCACGTCTGTAACCCTCCCATTGATTCAAGCCTCATCACTCGCACCTCACACTCACCCCACACTCAGCTCACACATCACACCACACACCCCCCCACCGCACTCACCCCCACACACACAGCACCCTCACCCCACCCACCGTCACACTCACCCCACACACACATCACACGCACCCCACCCACCTCACACTCACGCCCACCACACATCACACGCACCCCACCACACCTCACACTCCCCCACCACCACATCACACTCACCCCACCCACCTCAACCTACCACCAACACCGGCACACGCACCCCAACCCAACCCCCACTCCCGCACTCACCCCACCCACCTCACCTCACCACACTCACACTCAACCCCACCAACGCACCCCACCACACTCACCTCCAACACCTCACCTCACCACACCTCACACCATCCCTCCCACCACCCTCACCCCACCTCACCACTCACCCCCCCTCACACTCACCCCCACCCACACTCACACTCACCCCCCACCCTCACCCCACCCACACTCACCCCCCCTCACATCACACTCACCCCACCCACACTCACCCCACACTCACCCACCTCACCCCACCCACACTCACCCCACACTCACCCACCTCACCCCACCCACACTCACCCCACACTCACCCACCTCACCCCACCCACACTCACCCCACACTCACCCACCTCACCCCACCCACACTCACCCCACCTCACACTCACCCCACCAACTCACCCCACCCCACATCACACTCACCCCACCCACACTCACCCCACCTCACCCACCTCACCCCACCCACACTCACCCCACTCACCCACCTCACCCACCCACTCACCCACACTCACCCACCTCACCCCACCCACACTCACCCACCTCACCCCACCCACACTCACCCACACTCCACCCACACTCGCCCACTCACCCCACCCACACTCACCCCACCCACCTCACCCCACCCACACTCACCCCACACTCACCCACCTCACCCCACCCACACTCACCTCCCCTCCACTCACCCCACCCACCTCACCCCCACTCACCCCTACACCTACCCACACTCACCCCACGCACACTCACCTCCACTCACCCCACCCACCTCACCCCACCCACACTCACCCCACACTCACCCACCTCACCCCACCCACACTCACCCCACCCACACATCACACTCACCCCACCCACACTCACCCCACCCACACTCACCCCACCCACACATCACACTCACCCCACCCACACTCACCCCCACCCACATCACACTCACCCCCCCACACTCACCCCACCCACACACACTCACCCCACCCACACTCACCCCACCCACATCACACTCACCCCACCCACACTCACCCCACCCACACTCACCCCACCCACACTCACCCCACCCACCTCACCCCCCACCCACATCACAGTCACCCCACCCACCACCCCACCCACCTCACCCCACCCACACTCACCCCACACTCACCCACCCCCCCACACTCACCCACCACACTCACCCCACACTCACCCACCTCACCCCACCCACACTCACCCACCCACACTCACCCCACACTCACCCCACCTCACTCACCCACCTCACCCCCACCCACCCTCACCCCTCCTCAGGGTGCAGTCCCATGCAGTCGTGAGCTCACCTTGAGAAAGTTTCCAACTTTGCGAAAGTCTGCGAGCTGTGGCCAGCAGATCTTGAGCGTGCAGGCGCCAGTCAACCCGTGGCACTTTCACTGCGTGTACGCCAGATTGTACACAGCCTGTAGCACCACCACCACCATCATCATCGTCACCACCACAATCATCACTACCAAACGCCATTCGCCAATAAGTGGCGGTGATGTCACCACGGCGCCTGTGCCAAGCCATGTGCACATTAAGCCCACGTGAAGTGTCGAATGCCCGTTGGCAGGAGGTCATGGGACAGACCCAGGTGTCATGGGTCGACTGACGGAGATGACTGGCCAATGCACCACTGCCCAAGTATGGGAAACTCTCCACTCTCTCCACAACTACACCTATCACCAATTGGGAGTTGTGGGGGTGGAGTGTCCGATGGTACAAACTACCCAGGCAGGTGCTTAGTTTTGGTGGGGCTGATGGTAAGGCCCCACCTCTTAGTGGCACGCTCCAGTCTCAGCAGCAGCGTCTCCATCTCCTCCTCCGAGTGAGCAGCAATCACCAGATCATCGGCATACATAACGTGGTTGAGCAATAGGGAGCCATCCCTTGACCGCACCCGGGCGTCGATCACCCTCCCACTCTACCCGATGGAAATTCTCCCGTTACAGCCATGGAAGGCTTCACGAACTACATGGTCAAAAATAATTTTTTAAGTTATGTGGGAGCCAGAGAACATCGCCACGCAGCTTTTCCCAGGCCCGCTCACCATCATGAGTCAAGGACACTGAAAGCACAAATAAAAACCCACAACCCAGACCTACTGATGGTATCATAGGCCTTGACCAGGTCAATAAAGCAGAGATGTAGGTCTTGTTGGAATTCCCTACACCTCTGCTGTAGCAGACGGGGCCACCCTGGCCTAAAACCACATTGGGTCTGCGCAAGCCTCTCCTCAGCGTGCCCAACAGGGCGATTTTTAAATCCTTTATATTAAGTTCGCTTGCATGCTTGCTTGCTTGCTTACGACCGTGCAAATCTTTCGGTCGTTTTTTAACCCACTTCCCGTGATCCAATCGAGCTGACATTTTGCACACAGACTCGTTGTGCGAGACAATTAATGTTCGTGAATTTTTTTTTCCAAAATTTTACACTGTTTAGGGAAAACAAATTAAATATTTAATTACCAATTGCTTAATACTGGCAGACAATCATCTGACCCATAGGTGGCAGCCATCTCAAGCCAGAGGACGAGAGGACTCTAGCCGCCACACATATAAAGGATTTATAGTGAAAAACGTTGTTTTTACGGGTTAATTTTTAATTTTCGTCTACACATCTACCCATTTGCCGACTCACCAGCCGGCCGGCCTTGTTATTGTGCAAATTCATCTGGACGAGCTCCAGCCGAGACTCCCCTCCTCCTCCATGCCGCCTGCGATCGTGCTCGCTCTCGTCCACAAACTTCCTGGCGAACCGGTATCCGTATTTGACGTCGTCCCCGCAGCCCGGCTGGGCGCCACGCGGCAGACTTGCCGCGGCCGCATCGACGCAGTCGCAGCTGCCCGGCAGCGCCCCCCTGGCGGCAGGCGCGCGCCACCGCGTGGACAACTCCGGCGGCGATCAGGGCGGAGACGAAGGCGGCCTCGCGCGAGCCTGGAGCCCCCCCCCACCCCGACCACCCCGAAGAGCCCAATCAGCCCCGCCGACAAAACAATTTGATCGACTGTCTATTTTCTAGTGTAGACCGTTGCCGAAATAGAAACGTCACGTCATTAGAACCGCCACTCCCGCCGACGCATCCCATAGGTTAAGGATTTGGCACGAAAAACAGAACGTGGCGAATTCGTTACGAGTGCGACGACAGGGCGCCACCTGTGGGCCAGGACGGGTAATCACGAGTATGGGCGCGTAATATAATAACCAACCACGGGTTCAAGGTAACAGGCGGGGTCAGTAGGGAAGCTCCGGGAACTTGCTAGAAGGTTCTAGAAGGGGGCATGGCCGGAGTCGGGGCCTAGCCACGCCGGGAAGTGTGTGGTAGGGGGGACGTAACCGAAGGTTCGGAGCTGTCGCGGGATCCTGGCCGATCCTCTGCACAGCTCCAATCGTCATCGTCGTCGTCGTCATCGCTACGTGTAGCTAGACGCCGACGATGGGGCTGTCTAGAAAGGTCGGCTGTGTGTAGCCACGTAGAAACGTGTCTATATATATCGCCCAGTGTTTGTGCCCAAGTGTGAGAAATGAATAAGAAGCACTCTGCACGTTTTTGTCTCATTGCACTAGTACAGCACTGACCGGTTGCTGTGTGTTGAAGAGTAAACTCACTGCAACATTTACAATTCGAGTATTGTGATGTTTCGCTGGGAAAACAACAACCACAACAACCACCACAACAACAACAACAACACTAGCGTCATCAGGTGACAGCAGAGGTCGCAACCGGGTACGCCGATATCCGTTTGTGACCTCTGGGCGACAGCCAGCATTGTGGAGACATTCTACTTCAGTCTGAAACAAGGGGATTGGCCACGTTCTGCTTACACGACACTAGACCTCGCTAAGTGGCCGTGTCGGATGGTGGCGAGTAAAGCGAGGCAGCCCTCCGATTGGTGGAAACCCACCACCAGCGCCGTCGTTGCCCACGACTACCACCATCACTGACATCAGCTGCCCCGCCCATGCTATTTTAAACCTTTATGTTGCCGGCAGAGGCTCCGACGCTCGCTCCGACCCGGCCTGACGATCCCCTTACCAGATTGAGCCACGGGGCCCAGAGTGTCCTCGGCGCCGGGCGTGGTGCAGTTCCACCGCCAGGCCTGCAGCTGGTGCCGACACTCAGTCGAGCGCCAGCTGGACGCCATTGGCCACCTCCTCTGCGTGGTTCGAGTGCCGCCGGCACAGGCTGCGCTGTCCGGGGGAGAGACCCGGCGCCGCGGTGCACAGCAGCGGAGAGTCGGAAGCGGTTCGAAGAGCGGGGTCCACAGGGGCAGCAACCTGCAAGGGACGGGGGGGTGGGGGGGGAGTCACGGTGGCCAGGGGATGTTGACTACCCTGCATTGGTATGCAGGTCAAAATACCCAAAATACGTGATCTAATCCCATCTGTGAAGGAGGTCATTCTTGACATGCAATGCCCTGCGGTAGCAGTTACATTGGGGAACAAAACGTCATGTCCGGACCGTGTTCGCGAACACAAGGCAGATCTGAAACACGGCAGAACCAATACCTCTGCCGTAGCTGACCATTGCTATAACGCCGTGGGCTCGCGTGATATTGTTTTTTTCCGAGACCAAGCTACTTCTGCAAACCTTCGGGCTACTATGAAAGGTTTGTGCATGAAGCCATCCAGATATATAACATATGACAAAACTTAAACCGAGGAAGATGGATACAAATTGACAATCATTGCAAGGAGATGTTATCAACCAGGTAATGCCTTCACTTGTTGTTGTTTTCCATCGTACCTGCCGGTTTACTGCCCAGCCCGCCCACACCCCCCCCCCCCACAGCCTCACGTCCTCTTTCCCTAGCACTCACGCGCCCCCCCCCCCTCACCCTACCACCCCCCCTATCTCTCTCCCCCCTTTCCTCCTCCCCCCCTCTCTTACCTATGTAATAAAAGGTCGTTGAGGCGACTTCTAGAATCCGTCTTTTATTCAACTTGCATTACAGCTTCCCTTCACACTGCTGACAGGCAGCGTGAGAGGGACAGACAGAGAGACGCACTGCCACGTGGCAGCCTGGACCACGTGGCAGCCTGGACCACGTGGCAGCCTGGACCACGTGGCAACCCGGAGCCCCGCTCCCGCGTGGCCCCCTTCCTCCGTTCGTTTCCCGTTCTGACCACGTGCGTTCCTCTCCCCCCCTATTTAATACTCGGGTCACGTGGTACGTTTCCACCAATCCTGGTTAGCCTCCGTGGAATCTTCCAGGCTCCCTCGTAGGCCTCCCGGGACCACGCCCCATGACTCGTCTCCCCATTGGCTGTGGCCAAAGCCAGCACAACCAATCATCTACTTGCAGCTGTCACCTCTCCGTCACGTCAGGGCCACGCCCCTAGGCTTCCCTCCCCCATTGGCTGTGGACCAGGACCGGCAGAGCCAATGATCGTGACGAGTTGTAATCCGTCAACGACCCGGATAGTAAACCTCGCGGTGACACTACTATGTAACCTCTTGCCACGGCAGCTCTCCCGCCGACTTCAGCATTGTCTCGCTGTGGTTGTCCCCCCCCCCCCGATGAAGTTCGCTTGTGTTGCGATCGAAACGTCGTGATTTGTTTCATTTTATTTTATTTCTACCTACGTGACTTTACCGAAAGAACCAAAGAACATTTATATATTTACCGCGATCTAACACCAAAAACGCCTCTATTGTGGATGACATTGGTCGCGAAAGCCCTGCCGCTACTAGGTGTTGAACGACTGTACGGGGTGTGTAAAATACAAGACGGTCAGGAGGCCGCTCAGAAACCAATGAACTTAGAAACTTGCGCTCATCGCAGCCGTGAGGAGGAAGACAGCGGTCAGCGGTTACCACCAGGAAGCGGCCGAGACTGCCCACAGCTGTGCGAAGACGAAGCCTCGGACAGGCGCAGAGACCGGCCAGGAACAGCTCCTCTTCATCCTCATGGCCATCGGCGCTGTGCAGAAGTGAACCGGTGGAGACGATGTTAACTCCCTCGCCTGGTATGCAGGAGGTCGTGGGTTTGATCCCGACCCTGACGATACCTGCTGCCGTATATTTGGAGTTTGCGGTCTCTCTCTCATCATCGTCACGGTGGCTATGAGATGTTGACTACCTCGCCTGGTATGCAGGAGGTCGTGGGTTTGATCCCGACCCTGACGATGCCTGCTGCTGCTGTATATTTCTAGTTTTCAAGTCTCACGCTCATCATCGTCACGGTGGCTGGGAGATGTTGACTCCCTCGCTTTGTACACGGGATCGAGCCCACGACCACTTGTCCACCAGGCGAGGGAGTGAACATCTCCTAGCAGAGGTGTGGACTCGAGTCATGTGACTTGGACTCGAGTCAGACTCGAGTCATGAATTTGATGACTTCAGACTCGACTTGGACTTGCATAACAATGACTTTGTCCCACCTCTGTCTCCTAGCCACCGTGATCGTGATGAACTCCGACTGGGGTTGTCACTCTGGTGAGCTCTGTAGCCGACCGGCATCATCACCACGACACGCATTGAATGTGACCAGTCAGGTAGAGACAGCTCCCTCCTACAGGGGGAAAAAATCTATTTATAAACTTCTTAAAACTTAAAAACACAACATATACAAATGAAAAGAAAACTTTGTCATTACCTCGCTAATTAAAAATAAAACCCCAACGAGCGCTGTGTGAAAATTTAAACTTACGCACGCGCGCGCGCCAAGATTCGATTCTTTAAATCGTGCGAAGGAATCGAAGGTCGTAGATTCCTTTAGAATCGGCCTATTCCCGTTGAATCGATACCACAAACGCTCATCAGATATCGATTCTCGCCATTTCCTGTATGCGGGTGACGTCACACACCTCGTGGTCACCCCCCAAAATACAAAGTTTAATTTTAGACGTTTGACTTTGTGTACAGTATGGGAGCTAGACACGTGGCAACTTCAAAGTTTGTAGCCGAGTTTATTATTTATTTTATCTCCCCTCCCCAGCCGCGCATTTGGGTGACATGACAGGTATGTGACGTCACAGCTCACTTGCTGTGCAAAAAATCGATGCATTATTGCGCGCCTCTCTTTTCCCCCCAAAAAAACAAGTGTATTTTTAGAATGTTTGCATGGTGTACAGTCTGAAAAGTACCCGCATGGCAAATTTCCAGTTTGTTGCATTTCGGGAAGTACGCTAAACATTTTGAACAGACACACACACACACGACTTTGCCTTTTATACAGCATGTAATGGTATATATATTCTTGGTTCTTTCGGTAAAGTCACGTAGAAGGGAAATAATAAAATAATATAATAATAAAGACACGTAGAAAGGAAATAATAAAATAATATAAATGATTAAGTCACGTAGAAGGGAAATAATAAAATAATATTTATAATAAAGTCGCATAGAAGGGAAATAATAAAATAAAAAAGTATAAAGTCTAGTAGAAGGGAAATAATAAAATAATATAAATAATAAAGACGCATAGAAGGGAAATAATAAAATAATATAAATAATAAAGGCACGTAGAAGGGAAATAATATATATAAACAAAATATAATATAAATATAAAACAATAAACATTTCCCTGCAGTCACGAAAGCTTTAAATCAAAACAGCATGTAATGGTGTTATGTAAGGAATGCACACCCCGGCTAGCAGCCACCACTTACCTGCAGGGGGCTGTGGGGCGTCTTAATCCCCCGCACCCCTCCCAACGGGTTGTCCTGGGATCCCACGGGACCCCGCCCCTCGGGTGGGAGACGTATGAAAGGCAGCAGGAGCCAAGGGAGTGAGTTGTGGCCACGAGTTGAGGCCAGAAGAGCCAGTGGAAGACTGAGGGCCGGCTAGCGAGACCCTGGGACTCTTACCTTGTGTAACAACACTCGGGAGGCGGCTATGGGAATCGGTCCTTTTATTTACTTTGCTCAGTTCACAAGCACTCCCCGTTGCTGGCAGGCAACCACCAAAACGAAGCACCTGCCAGGTATTTTGTACCATCGGATACTCCACCCCCACAACTCACAATCGGTGATGGGGCAGTTGTGGAGAGACTGGAGAGTTTCTCATGACCGGCTCCGGTTTAGCAGCAGAGGTCTCACTCCGAATCAGTCGAGCGGCAATATCTTTTTCATCGGTTTGCGTAACGCTGTGTGGAAGCTACCTGGTCTGTCGCTCCGCACGAAGCTTCAGGTCTTCTCGGCCACAGTCATTCCATCCCTTCTCTACGCTTGCAAAACGTGGACACCCCTAATGGAGCATCTTCGCCAGTTGGAAACATTTAGGCTGGCCTGCCTACGATCCATCCTGGGTTTTAAGCAGGCTGGATTGTGTGAGGAGCTCACAAATCCTTGAAAGATCTGGGCAAAGTCCCATCGGTGAGCTCCTCAGGGAGGCAAGGCTGCGTTGGCTGGGTCATGTAGCCCGCCATGCCCAGCCACCGCATGCCTAAACAGCTTTTGTTCGGCCGGATCGAGGGGGCTAAACGGGCGCGGCACGGGTTAGAGAAGAGATGGAGTGATGTGGTACAGGAGGACGTGGAGCTGAGTGGACTTGCCGATGACCGGTATCAGTGGTGTCAAGATCGGCCTCAGTAGAGGAGGCTCGTGAAGGACGCTACTGGGCAGTTGGAGGCAGTCGCCCTCCAACAACAACGGAGGGTGGAGGAGCGACGCTCACAACAACGAGCGGAGTGCCGGGTGGCTAAAGCACAGCAAGTTGGTACAGTAGGGGGCACAGGTGGTGCATCAGCCAGTCCTCTTCGTCATCTCGGTCAGTCGACCCGTGGCACCTGCTGGGTCTGCCCCGTGACCTCCTGCCAGCGGGCGTTCGACACTTCACGTGGCCTCAAGGTGCACATGGCCTGGCACAAGCGTCATGTGTCTGTGTGTGTGTCTGTGTGTGTCTCTGTGTGGTGTCTGTGTTTGTGTGTGTCTGTGTGTGTGTGTGTCTCTGTGTGTCTGTGTGATGATGGTGGTGGTGATGGTGATCGTGGTGGTGGTAGTGATGGTGGTGGTTGTGATGGTGGTGATGATGGTTATGGTAGTGGTGGTGGTAGCGATGGTGGTAGTGATGGTGGTAGTGATGGTGGTGATCGTGGTGGTGGTAGTGATGGTGGTGGTTGTGATGGTAGTGATGATGGTGATGGTGGTGGTAATGATGGTGGTAGTGATGGTTGTGGTGGTAGTGATGGTGATGGTGGTGATGGTGGTAGTATTGGTAGTGATGGTGATGATGGTGGTGATGATGATGGTGATGATGGTGGTGATGGTGATGGTGGTGGTGATGGTGGTGATGGTGGTGGTGGTGATGGTGGTGATTATGGTGATGGTAGTGGTGGTGGTAGTAGTGATGGTGGTGATGGTGGTGGTAGTGATGGTGGTAGTGATGGTGGTGGTGGTGGTAGTGATGGTGGTGATGGTGGTGGTAGTGGTGATGGTGGTGATGGTGGTGATGGTGATGATGGTGATGATGGTGGTGGTGGTGATGGTGGTGATGGTGGTGATGGTGATGATGATGGTGGTGATGATGATGATGGTGGTGATGATGGTGGTGGTGATGGTGGTGGTGGTGGTGATGGTGGTGATGGTGATGGTGGTGATAATGGTGGTGATGATGATGATGGTGGTGATGATGATGGTGGTGATGATGGTGGTGGTGATGGTGGTGATGGTGATCGTGGTGGTGGTAGTGATGGTGGTGGTTGTGATGGTGGTGATGATGATGAAGGTAGTGGTGGTGGTAGTGATGGTGGTGATCGTGGTGGTGGTAGTGATGGTGGTGGTTGTGATGGTAGTGATGATGGTGATGGTGGTGATGGTGGTGATGATGGTGGTGGTGGTGGTAATGATGGTGGTAGTGATGGTTGTGGTGGTAGTGATGGTGATGGTGGTGATGGTGGTGATGGTGGTAGTGATGGTAGTGATGGTGATGATGGTGGTGATGATGATGGTGATGATGGTGGTGATGGTGGTGGTGGTGGTGATGGTGGTGGTGGTGGTGGTGGTGATGGTGGTGGTGGTGGTGGTGATGGTGGTGATGATGGTGATGGTAGTGGTGGTGGTGGTAGTGATGGTGGTAGTGATGGTGGTGGTAGTGATGGTGGTGATGGTGGTGGTCATGGTGGTAGTGATGGTAGTGATGGTGATGATGGTGGTGATGGTAGTGTTGGTGATGGTTGAGATGGTGATGGTGGTGATGATGTGGTGATGGTGGTGGTGATGGTGGTGGTGATGGTGGTGATGGTGGTGGTGATGGTGGTGATGGTGGTGGTGATGATGATGGTGGTGATGGTGGTGATGATGGTGATGGTGCTGGTGGTGATGATGGTGGTGATGGTGGTGATGAGTGTGGTGATGGTGATGATGGTGGTGGTGATGGTGGTGATGGTGGTGATGGTGATGATCGTGGTGGTGATGATGGTGATGGTGGGTGGTGATGGTGGTGATGGTGGTGGTGATGGTGGTGATGGTGGTGGTGATTGATTGACCGTGGGACAAATGTTTATAGCGGTGTCATAATCGTTTATAAAACGAGGTTTTAAAAGTTTGCAACACATTAAACAAAATTTTTGAATGGAGGTGAGAATTGGTAGCTCGGATAGGCGAGCAATGCCCCGGTCACAGTGGAATTGGTTAGAGCGGATAAGGACCACAGTTTGATTTGCACCGCTTAACTAATTGCGTGTGCGTGTGTGCGTGTGTGTACGTGTGTGTGTGTGCATGTGTGTGTGTACGTGTGTGTGCGTGTGTGTACGTGTGTGTGTGTACGTGTGTGTGGGTCTGCCCCGTGACCTCCTGCCAGCGGGCGTTCGACACTTCACGTGGCCTCAAGGGTGCACATGGCCTGGCACAAGCGTCGTGGTGACGTCACCGCCACTTAGTGGCGATGGCGATTGTTGTTGTTTCTCTGTGTGTGTCTCTCTGTGTGTCTCTTTGTGTCTCTCTGTCTCACCGCGTGTCTCTCTCTGCGTCTCTCT